TCTTTTATTTATGTATATTTAGTTTGCAGTCCATCAGAGCTGCATCCACAGGATTGCGGCTGTGAAAAGTGGCCTGGTTCCCCCGGTCTGTAAGTTAATAAATTATGGGTATTGTCAGGGTAATGTATGGGTCGTGTGTTATAATGAGCATTCTGAAACCCATCAGCAACACTCCCACAGGCTGCTGTGCAAACTGCTCACATGCCACTGTCTCTCCCTCCCTTAGATTCCTCCCTCTGCCTTCCCCTTTATACTGCTATCTGTTTCTTCCACCCTTTCTATCTGCTCACTTTCCACTCTGATTTCCCTGCCACTACATATTTTTTTCCCAGAATACCTTGTCATCTCTTTAACTCGTTTTTATCGAAGAAAATTCTGAGAATTCGTTCTCTGACTAAGTAGTGAGAGAAGGGGCAGGGAAGGGGTTGTGTAGTTGGCTGAAAGAAATCCTCCCGTAATTATAGTAAATTAAAAGTTTTATGAGGTTGTGCATGCCTCTGTGTGTGTGTGTGTGTGTGTGTGTGTGTGTGTGTGTGTGTGTGTGTGTGTGTGTGTGTGTGTGTGTCTGTGTTGGTGGGAGGGAGGGAGAGGGGGGGGCATCTGTGACAAGGCTGGCTGGGAGCACAGAGCTGAGGGTGAGTGCCAGACATGTCTCAAGAGAAACCGGGGCACATTTGCAATCACCCCGAGTTCAAAAGGGTAATTTATTCACAGTCTGTGGTTAAAGCGGGGCTGCTCAGAATGCCAGTGGGATTGTGCCGGGAAGCAGAGTAGTAGAGACACATTATTTTCAGTTTTTCTCTCTCTCCTTTCTTGTTTCCTTCCCTCTCTCTCTCTCTCTCTCTCTCTCTCTCTCTCTCTCTCTCTCTCTCTATCTCTTGCCTTTCCCCCTCTTCATCGCCTGTTGTTGTTTCTGTGAGCCCTGTGCGGTGTCTTTTAACACACGCCGCCGAGCATATTTCACTTTTACACTCATCCGCATTGACGTCCCGGTGCTGATTGAATTTTGAGGCGCTGCGGCGTCTGCCATTATCATCCTCATCGTCTTGAGTGGTTTATCTCTGGCCTCAGCTCTGTGTGACGCCAAGGCTGCAGGGGGAGAGGGGAGGCAGGGTGTCGAGGACCGTTCCTGTGTTTGCGATATAAGTGTGGAAAAAGATATTGAGGTTTGCTCCTAACCTGGATGATACAGATGGTTGGTTGAGGTTTTTGTCCGTGCGTACATGCATGCATATAGCCCTGCAGAAATTGCTTTAAGCCTGTCAGGGTCACGTTTTAGCCGGCAATGTCTTTCAACCAGAATTGTCTCAATCAGTGGCAACGTGGCTCCAACATTAACTCCACCTGCCAGGTTCACTTAGGATCAAAGGGTGTCATAGCTGCCCAGAGACCTCACACCGCCTCTCCGGGAATCAGCAGAGAATTATTCCACCACATGTCACTTTTACTGTGTCGTTATCACCCAAAGCCACGGGCAGACACTTAGAAAACACTGCCTGCTGTGGTGGTGTGGTGGGGTTAATTTGAGGTCTGGAGAAAAATCTCTTTCCTCCCCGTACGTCGGTTCAATACTCGGTGGTGTGCATTCATTGCCAGAGTGGGAAATTGTCTTTCCCTGTGTGTGTCGTTGTAGCTGGGTTGTTATGTATGCTCTGCTGCAGAGGCTGCCGTGTTGACGTGAAGCTGAGCTGCTGCCACAGCGTCTTGATTTGAGGTGAAACCTTGGTGTAACACTATCAACCCTTACCTTCTCTCCTCCTCCCTCTCCTTCTTGTTTTCTTTCCTCCTTCATCCCTCTTTGTCTCTCCTGCCGTCCCTGTTGTTTCTGTTTTCTCCGTTCTGCCTCTCGCTGACGGAGTGATTTTGTAGTTGCATGCAGGTGGGGTAGCAGACAACGCGGAGCTCTGCTAATTGAGCCTTCTTTGTGCCTGGTCACTGCAGTGTGCCGAGGCGAGCGGGCCCAGGAGTGAATCCAAGCAGCACTCAAGAGCCTTGCTGGATCGATAACGCAGGAACTTAACAAAACAGAGACATGCCGAGTGCCCAGATCAGGGTCATTATTGTCCCTGGCGAGCCGCACTTCCACCGGGGACTGATCAATGTGAGAATATGGATCAAGATAAACATTCTCACCTCCTGTTTGCCTGTTTGCTCTCAGAGTGTCAAGTTTTAGACAGAGAGGGCTGAGCTTAACTCTTTAAGCACCCCTGTAGTTGTGCCATATGCAATGCAGATCTGCACTTGATGTCAACTATTTTTGACATTCATTATGTTGTTCAGAACAACTATTCACAATGTCACTATGGCTGAATTTGTTTCATGACAAACGTCCATAATCATGGCTTTTTCTCTTCACTGAAGTATCTTTGAATAGCAGAACTTTAATAATGGTTTAAATTATACATATTTCTCTGTCAAATTGTATTCAAAAATGCTAGCAGAAAAGTAAATGGAGCTGTGGTGACATAACAAGGGGGGCAGGCGTCAGCTTGTTCTAATTAATGGAAAGAGAAAACCTGAGATCTGTGAGAGCATGTTGACCCTTCAAAACATGACAGTGTTTCATTTCATCCACGACTTTAAATTGGTGATGATGGTTTCCTGCTGCTCCATTATTCACTTGGAAGGATAAGAGTGATTGCTTAATGTGGTGTGGAAAAATGGTAAATGGTTGCTACACGCATAGAAGGAATGCATCCAAAGGTAGTATGATTAGAGGACCGAACCTGTTGACGGACTCAGTTTAGGTTCTCTACCTAACTCTACCCAGTTTAATAAGCACAGGTTTTTCCCCTAAAGAAAGAGGTGGACTTTTTGTATGATTTAGTTTCATGTTTCTTCAACTTGATCTTTATTGGGGTTGTTGATTTTTGTTTATATTTAGTCGAATAAAGCTGTTTTAATGATTCTCCTATTAGACTTAAAAAGTGTAATATGAAGAGCTCAATTCGTTTTAAATACTTCATCCAAGCTCCTTTATGTTTCACATAAAAAATCTGAAATTGGTTCATTCTACTTTGGATTCTTCAACCAATATACCCTAAAAATCCAGTGTACAAGACCCACTTTGAATATCTAATTTTTCTTCTAAAAAAGTTGTATGTGCGGGGCAGCGGTAGCCTAGCTGTTTAGTGTGCGCGGCCCATGTACAGAGGTTTAAGTTCTTTAGAGCAGGCGGCCCGTGTTTGAATCCGGCTTGTAGCCCCTTTCCCACATGTCATTACCCACTCGCTCCCTCCCCAATTTCTGACTCTATCCACTATCCTACCTCTAAAGTATATACCAGTATAAAATACTGAGACATGACTGTAGTCTCAACCATACCGCGTTGCATGCAACCTAACACTATTTAAAAGACGCCCTATTCATTGTGTATTGCTAGCGCCTGCTTCACTGTTCATAAAAGGTGTTGGGATACATAGTGACTTGGACAAGGCTTGTGGTGCCACTTTGTTTTTGCACTCATCAGGTTAAAGTCGTGCATTTAAAGACAAAGTGGTATACTGTGAAGTAAATAAACCTTGTGCAGTGCTGGTTTGATTGAAAAGGCTCCTTAATTGAAGATAACAAGTAACCAAGCGAGGTGAGCAGCGCGACTCGCCGGCTGTTGGTCCGTCCTACACAACTCCCAGCGTTATCGTAGGTTGAGACTTGCGGTAACTTGCAGGATTGCAAACTCCTTAAGGCGAAAAACAGATGGTACCAAGTTAGCTCCACAGCTGCAGAGAAACTGCACATGGATCGTCACACAGGACGACAGTATGAACCTTCTTCCCTCTGAAAGACCCCCAAAAACTGGCTGCGTTTTATACACCAGTGCAGCTTAAATTCTGGAGTCAACGACATTTAAAACAGTAAAAACAAAAAATGGTATCAGAAATTTCAAAGCCCTAAGCAGTGTCCTATAAATGCTTAGTTTTTATAACTAAGTTTAAATCCAGGAAGTATTGGCTCGGTTAAGCACATTTGTGACCTGTTTGAGTTCTTTTTATTTGCCTTTGAAAAGACTTTAAACATGTTGCTAAATAAGTTTGCGCCGATCAACTAGTTGATTAGTAGACATGTTGTTGGAGGTTAAATGTGAGGCATTAAAACTCTTCACCCATGTGAAATAAAATAACCTTATTCACTTTCCACTCAGTCTTTATTAAGACAAATGATGTTGTATTGTTTTCGTAAAACAAACATGCTTTGTTCATGTGATTCCAAAAATAAGTGAGTGTGTTGATACAGCCGTGTTGCTCTGCACTCTCTAAATAATCTTTACATAAGGTCCATACGCCTGACTGTAGGAGCCTGTGTGCTGCAGAAACACTCATCAGTGTGCCTTTGAAGAGCCACTGATGACACTTGGTATTAAAATGTCAAATTGCGCTCCACTCACTCTAAAGTGATTTTAGTTGTGATTATGCACTATTTCCCTCCTGTCAACAGCGGGGAAAAAATAATCAAAAAATGTGCTAATTGGTCATGGGGATTGGTGGGAGACTTCAGTATTTTTATGTCTTTGACTTCCAAATGAGTTTGGGAAAGAGGAGGCTGTCACTCTGGCACAGAGGTTTTGGGGAGGAGGAGGAGGAGGGGCAGCTGCTGGCGCGGGCTCAAATTGAAATGATGCACTGTTCCCCCTCACTGCGGCTCCAGCTCACAGTAATTAAATGCCTCATTGTTGCTTCTTGGGAATTTGTATTGAATATTTCATCCAGCGTAATGATTATTTGGGTGTGGGTGGGAACGTGGATGTAATCACCTTCGCTGGCTCTTTGATGAAATACTTGGTTTGGTGGTTGTGCTTTTATTGCCGTTTTAAGTGCCCTTCTGGGTTTTTTATTTTACTTCATGTCCATGTTTCATTTCAAACTGCCATTATCCATTTCTGCTCCAAATATTTGCTACATAATCTTTTGACATCATTTTCTGTTTTTTTTTTTTTTTTTACTGAAAACATGACCTCAAAACCTTAAAATTAAAACGTGTCCTTCACATTTTGTCTCCCGCAGAGGACGCCGGTCAACACTGGAGAAGCTTTTCGGTGGTTCTTTTAGAGATATGAGCCATGGCCGCCCCATCCAGCAGCAGAAGCGGGAGGGCAGGTGGGACTCTTGACTCTCTGCAAAAAGAACACTATGGGTACACTGAGCCCACCCACAAGACGCCCCAAAAACATGGACAAGAGAAGAAAAGTGGACGGACAAAAAGAGAAATGGAAACATAATGGTGTTGTTTAAACTCTGTAATTTCTTTTTCTGTGTAATTATTGTACCTTTTGACAGTATCATAATGTATATTTTTGGTGTCTATGAATGTGTTTTCAGTGTCGTGGCTGTAGGTTCACAGCCGATCCAATGTAAAGAGCTCCAACAGACAATCATACAATCACAGAGAATCTGTCAAACAGAAGAGGCCACAAGGATTGACAACATAACGAAAACAACACGCTTTACTCTGGAGCAATAATCTATTCTGTTGATTATTCTTCATCCTTTATGTTCTGTTCACTCTCATATTATTTGTTCAGACTGAATCATCCTCTGGTTTTCTCTTTTTATTTCTTTGTAAACCGCGTTTTGAGATGCCAAGCTTTCTTAAGATCTTTGCGGACCATGACGTGAAAGACGGCGGCCATGTTTCTTTGACAGACATGTTGACGTGTTTCTTCTAATGAGTTGACTCACTGCAAAACAGGGCACATTGTCTTGTGTGGCGAGTAGCCCCTCTTTTTAAAAAAAAACAAAAAAACAACTGGGCGTCATTTCATTGTGACAGCAGCAGAATTTAAGAGTCAGATTCTGCCTGGAGGTCATATCCTCAAAGGCATTTCAATTTTGTGTTTTGAAAAACCAAACTTCTTCAGTCTTCAAATCCTTGTTTGTTTTTCTTTAAGTTTAAATGACTAAAGGTTGTAACTGTCTTAAAGGTAGAGAGTAATGCCAGTAAAGGAGTTGTATACTATGTTGAAAACATTCAAATTAAGGAGTAAATACAGTAAACTCAACATATTTGACATATCAGATGTTGTTCTGGAGCTGCGGGATACTTTGGACTTGGAACAACGGTCCTTCCTCCTGAAAAGTAACACATTCCAAATCAAATTATTCAATAAGTTACTCATTGTCTTAAACCCTATTGTTGCATGTGTAAATGTGTTTTGGTTTTAAAGATTACTAAGAATTTGTATATTGTTGTTGTGATGCTTTTATGTGTTCAAATAAAAAAAAAAAAAAGACTTCAGTAAAACACACCTTGACAGTGAATCTTTGAAAAAGGAGAGGCGTCATTGAACAATTATGATCACCTGATTATAAAACACTTTCCTCTTTTTGCTCCCTCCTGCAAAGCATCAACAGAAATAACATCCAGGAGGAGACGTGGGGAATATAACAGCATTGGTTGCCTCCCCAGTCACGTATCCCCTTGAATACTAAAACGTTGCACGGAGAAGAGAGGTTCCCAGAGGCAGCAGACTTTAAAGGACTAGTGAAATCCCATGTGGTTTGTCATGCTGGAATGCACTTGGGGAGGTGGGGGGCAAGACGAGGAACGACGGTGGATTGGGGGGGGGTAAAGCAAGACAGGCTCCTGAGATAGTATGAGCTGAACTGAGCGATTGCCGGCTCTTTGGGTTTCAGGGGTAGAGAAGGGTGGGGGGAGCAGTTATGGAGGGAAAGAGAGGACAGAGGAGGCACATTTGGGCGGTAGCTGAGGTGGGGAGGAGGGGGGAGGCGTTGATGCTGAGGGGAACGAGCAGAGGAGGAGGAATTCATCCGGGACTGACTTCTCCCCTCACTGAACACGCTTGCCATCACCCAAATTGAGCTGCTGACTGGTTAGGGCCGGCCGGGGAAGACGACTCAGAGTGCTCTGTAGTGGCGGTGTTAGCAGCAATGTGGCATCTGAGGTGCCCAATCCCCCCCTCGCTGGTCATCAGAGGTTGATAACGTGCATCAGGGCGCTCTGCTTGCTCACTCCCTGGCCGGTGAGATTAAATAACATCAGAGACAGCTCTCTCTAATCCCCTCCCTCCTCCCTCCCCCGGTTCTGGAACTGGGATTTAAAGTCCTCAGGCCCTGATGGTAATGTTCAGCTTCCTGCTTTAGAGGCGGAGAGAGGCTGTAGCTGGGCCAAATTAACAAGCTAGCAGAGTGGTGCAGATATATATGACACGTTCTCAGTCCTTATGAATCTTAAGGTTCATTTATTTAGTTATTTATTTGGAAGGGGGTTATTGGTTTCTTCAGGATTCAATTAAATTTCATATCACGCTCAAGAAACATTATAGCTCGTGTCGGAGACCTTTTATCTCCCAGGTCTCACAGGAAAATATCAGCACATTCTGGGCTTGAAAAAAAAGTCACTGATGGGGATATCTGTGATCTCAGATTGCTCCTGGACTTCTGGACTAACTAGCTGCTGATTTCTGTCGTACTACAAATACTAGCGGTACTAACATTATCAGACTCTGTGCCAGTATTTCTTGTTTCTTACAAAGTTGCTTTTTATTTCCAGAAGCCTGCAGAATGTTTTTTGTTGTTGTTGTTTTTTTTGCATTACCTCATTTCTAAGCTCCTATGTCTCCCCAAGACAACACATTAAAGTTAATTCAACAAAGCCAATTTTACAGTTCGGCGCCAGAACTGTTTTGATATTATGACCTTTGACTATTTCCGGAAAGTGAATTAAAGACAGGTTCTTCCATTATCACAGTTTTATGTTTATAGAAAGAAATAAACTGTTAAAATCTGTGCACAGTGTTTACAGGATCACAGCTGGAGGCGCCACTTGGGGAATTAACATTCATTCAAAAAGACCCTTCAGACTGTACTTAAATCAGAATCATCACAAGGTGACGACAGTGTTCCTTTCCCCTTTATAATCAAACATTTTATTCTTAACATTATATTAAAGCTGTTTTTTACTCTACCGTCTCAGAATGCGTTGACTATCTGTGGTGATAAAGCATCTGGAAACGATAGCCAACTTTTCCCGGCTTGCAGTGTAGCAAGCAGATAGCTATAAAGGACATCCAGCCAATATTTTATTCTGCGTTCATTACCATTGTTTATAGTCCAACTAGCAACTTGAGAAGTGAGACTGGAGTTGAAATTGAGAGAAATGGGCCTGATGCGTACACTTTATATTTTCCATTTACTGATGATTTTGTCATGATTTTTACATTGACTTGAGAGCGCGTCATCTGTTTGGATAAGATCACAAAGAAACTGATGAACTGGAGAGCAGAGAAATGCAATCACATTCAGAACAGTCTCACAGAAGCTGAATGGTTTCGTCATTACAACAAGAAAGCACATCTTCGGTCGTAACCGTCTCAAGATCCTTTTGACAAATTTAAGAGTGGTTGAATATCAGCTGTCACTCGAATAAACCCCCAAAATAAATCCAGGTCCCTTTGATGCCAGTCATGTTACTGGGTGCCAGAGGTTAGTGGGCCAATCAGATGTGCCTTCCCTCCCTGTGTCCTCCACAGGAATGCAGAGTCTCTGTGATAATCCCTTTAGGGATTCTGACTGAAAATGCCGCCTCACTCTACTGGCATACTTCTCACTGAGAGGAAAAAACCCACACACCTTCCTGCAAGGGAGCTAAGGAAGGACATGGACGACTGGAATAAAATTATGAAATACTGAAGGAATATTTGACCTAGTGTGAGGAGTTGTAACAGAACTGATAACGTAGTCATTTTAAACTTCAATTGTAATTTTTTAAGGAAAAGATACTGAGTGATCGATCGTCTGTTTGACAGTAGGGTGAGATCTTTGGATAGAAAACACCAGTTATGACAGTACAGTACAGGGTTTGGCTATTCCTCCACGAGAACTCCAAATAAACAACACAATTTGGATTATAAATAAAGTTTTAAGTGAACAATGGTTACAGTTGAGTTCATCGGCTCATCAGGAATAAGACTGAACATTTATCAATGGTTTGGTCGCCTACATGTATCTTTAAGGAAACAAAAAGAATGCAGATGACACCTCAGTGATTGCAGAAATAGGTCAAAATGTTACTTAAGGCTTTTTTATGAAGGATGACAAAACTATAAATGACTATAAAAAAAATTAATAAATGACATTATATGTGCAGATGATTGTGCCTAAGTTACATCATTTGCAGATATTCATAGAGATTGATCAAAACTAAAAGAATACATCTTTTACTTCATCCTTTTTAAAAAAAAATCTGAATGTATTTTTGTGTAATGAATTCAAATTCCTCTTCAACTGCATGTATGTTTGCTGGCACATACTAACATAACCGAACACTGAAAAGACACAACACTTTCCCACATTGAGTCAGTGGCACACACAGAGGACAGAGAATGAGACAGAGAGAAAACGACATATACAGCCTCCCTCCCCTCCTCCCTACCTCGTCTTTCATTATTTATTTACTGTCTGCAGTTTTTCCATCGCACGCATATTGATGCGGAGAAAGCAGGGTGTGAGTGCGTGTCAGAATCATTTCCTGACGAGGGAGACAAGGTGGAAGTAATCAGCAGAGCGCTGATGCAATATGACAGCCCCTAGAACTGCTGGTACACAGTTAAGAGCAGGAGGGAGAAGAAAAACATCTCCCCACTGAAGGAAGTGGCAAGATTTGCACAAGCGACATTTGGGTGGAAAGCAGGTTCAAAAAGTTCTAAAAGTTTTTGGGGAAGTAAAGTCTGATTCAAGCGTTGTTTTGTCAGAGCGTAACTCAAAATTGAACTTTTCTCCCAAAGCATACAAAATAATATCTGTATCAACAAAGCGTGTTGTGTTTTTTTTGGTGTGTTTAAAAAAATTAAATCTACAAGGTCATTAGCTCTCCATCATTGTGCTTTTACTCTTATCTTAGCTCACGTTACACTCTCAAGAGAATTAAGTATAATTCTGAATACAAATAACTCACAGCTTTCTTATTGATCAGCAACTGAAAAGAAAGTGTGAAGAAAAATCCAGAAAAAAATCAGATCACAGTTCAGGTAAAAAAAAAAACAAACAAAAAAAACAGCGTTGAAACCTCAATAGCTACAATCAGACAACAACCATTGTTAGCATAGTCGCTTAAATAGAATCACTGTCTGCAAGGAACTGGCAACAAACTAATATGCCAGATTGGTTCTGTAAGAGGATACATTAAAAAAGGTGTAAACGAATTTAGTCAGTAATTGTACGCCTTTTTGAAGAATTACTTCCTGGCTAACAATATTTCAGTAATAGGCTTAGGTTGAATGCTAGCATTAACTGTTGTCTAATGGTAGCTAATGTGTTATCAAATATGTTGCTGTAACTTGAAATATGGAATCATGTTCCTGCTATTTACACTATGCATTGTCTTATCGGGTGCTGGTCAGTGGGGAAGTTGTGAAATAATAACGACTGGATGGATTGTCTATAATACCAATTACAACTTTAAGACACCCGCACAACCTTAAACGGCTTATGAGATTCAATCCTGAGCTTGACGTCAAAAGGAAAACGACTGTTAATCAAAATTGGTTAATTGTCCATGATTTGATCTTGAAACAGTAATTCTCTATGGGCAATTATCATCAACGCAATCACTTGTGTGTGTGTGTGTGTGTGTGTGTGTGTGTTTTGTTCAATTATTCACCAGATAATCTTGGCTTTTTCCGTGTTTAGGTCATCATGCTTATGAAAAGCAGGACACAGACTAACAGAGTCTGTGGATGGTACAGCATGGCACCTGGCTGACATGATCTTTCTCCCCTAATTTGGCCTGACTGTTCTCCCCCCTCTCTCTCTCTCTCTCTCTCTCTCTCGCTCTCTCTCTCTCTTTCCCAGGCAGGTGTAGATTGATTAGTTATCCTGCTGCCATCACAGGGTGCAGTGAGATGTTTGCCAGCTCTTCCAATGACTTCTCCCCATGTAACACACCTGTACGTATCTCCCTCACACATCTGTACATCTCCATCTCATACATTTCTATCTCTGTCTTTGTCATCACTTTTCTCTGTTGACAAACACCCTCACCTCTCTCTCTCACACACACACACACACACACACACAGAGTATATGTAACTACACTCATGTACAGATTCCGACTGTAATTGATGAACGTGAAAGACGTGAAAGAGCGTACATTATGGTCTTCCTACCACTTCTTTTCCGCACACTGACCTGGGAGAGCAAATGGGTTATCTCCATGCTGATACACACATACACACACATCAACACATTCAAACACATA